CGCCAGTCTAATATATACAGTAATCTAGCACAATTCAACACAAATTTTAAACTTACAATTCTAATAAACATCCACAGATTGGTCACTAGAAGATAAAATATAGCTTACCTGAAGCAAGTGTACTGCCATCTCTGCTGAAACAGAGAGAGTATATCGTGTCTGTGTGTCCTACTAAGCGACCAATTAGACTCCCATGCCCGATATCCCATAATAGTACTGTCTTATCAACACCAGCTGTTGCAAGATGTTTACCATCTGGTGAGAAAGCTATACTGTGGATGGGAGCCTGCAAATACATTTATTATTATGCGACGAAATGAAATAGCAAACAAATTCCCTCATATCCCAGACATATCTCGCATACATGGGAAGTCAATGCTAAGTACGGTAAAAACTTTAGAGTTACTTTGTCACTCTCTCATTCATGGTGCTTCCTACTCAAGTAGGTAACATTTTGTTGTATTTGTAGTCAGAGGTTCTTAAACAAGATTGTTAAATACTGTGGAATACTTTATTTTCGCTGGAATTAATTTTCGCTGAAAAGGCTTTTTGGGCGTTTTGTATGGAATTTATTTTCACTGATTTTTGATGAGTTTAATGTGAAATATAGGAAAAAAAGTATATTTGCTGGATTTTATTTTCACAGAAACATCCCTTCAGCGAAAATGGTGAAAATAAATTCCAAGCGAAAATAAAGTATTCCACAGTATTACAAATGCAGAGACACACTAAACCAAAACAAACATCAATGGGAAACAAAACCTATGAAAAATGACTCACTGGGATTGTATTATTGAACAAAAGAAGAATATAATATTTGCTCTATTGGCAGCACATCCACTTTAATATACTTAAATGACAGAAATCTGTTTAAAATCAAAATAAATAATATTTCAATGCTTCAATACACAATAAATTCGATTTTTATTGGAGGTGTACTTCTAACAGAGCAAATACACTATAGTGAGTACAAGGTGAGATTGTGACAATGGTATCTTGAAATTATTTACACAAAAATGCATAATATATTGTATTATTATTGGAAGGAATGTACCCACCTTATGGCCAGTAAGTATCCTTACACAGTTACCACTACTTACATCCCATAGTCTACATGTCCTATCACTAGAACCTGTAGCTATATAGTTGGAATTAGGATGGAATTTCACACACTGTAATAAAAAAAAATATCATAATCATTAAACTATGTATGATACAGTAAAACTGTGAATGCATTAATTACTCGCTGGTTTTTAATTTCGATATTTTTGTTCATAATTGAAATTTACTAAATTAAATACATATAAACTTGTAGAATAATAATAAAATTATTTTCTTGGCAAGTTTGTGAGCCTATAACCTAGTGAAATTGCTCAAAACATCATGAAATTAAGTGTCAGTGAAAATAAATGGGTTTTATAGTAGTGTGTATCCATGTACTTATAGGTACATGTCGGGAATGAACATTTTGCAAAATTCACAACCATATTATAATTATAGTACTAGTATATTTTTGTTGTTAAAGGGCAGTAGTCATCGCACCACACAAGCGCGAGATATATGGATCTCATATAAACAAAGATGGCGACTTCGACTGTTGTGCGGACCAACAAGTACAAACTGAGATGCTACCAAGCGTTAATTAGGTATTTTTAGGTGATTAGTGCAAGTCGCACCTGGTCAAACCTCATACTCGTAATTTCCATTAGAAGAGCGCATTGGATTGTGGGAAAATCAATGTTTATCAACACAAATGTCGCACATGCGCAGCGCGACGACCACTGCCCTTTAAGTTATATCAACTTTCAAAGTATGTTAAGCACTTACATCAACATCAGAGAGATGTCCTGAAAATACGCGCAATGGCTGGTGATTTTCGGTTGCCCATAACCGGGCTGTCCTGTCATGACCCACAGATACGAAATAATAACCATATGGACTGAAATTAAATAGAAATTTTGTTTTTTAAATGGGCTGTTGCTAACCCTTCGCAAGTCACCAATATTTATATAAACAGTAACTTGTGAGCTCGCTAGTTTTTTCACAAGTTTAATACACATAATTGCATGAGATATCTTACAAATGTATGTATGGATACACATATTTTATAATATATTTTGAAATTGCTTCAATGTGTGTGAACAGTTTCTACAGAAATTTTTAAATTTTCAAAGCTATTTTGTTGATGGCTACACTCAATACAGAATCAGGTACATGTAAAAAAAAATAAAACTGATACAGAAAATCTATAAACTTCAGCTGACCGAAAGTTAATCAATATTGATCAACCCAGAACTTCACGTTAGTCATCTAGCCTGAGGGTACTCAAAGTCAGGACTAGTAAAAATATTTGTTATTGTTGTCTGTCTAACTAGTACTATTATTCAATATGTACTTTAATGAACATCACCATAAAGACACAGGTTTGCGCAAAAAGTGAGCATTCCTTATTTAATAGCCGCATCAAGCTTCAGGCAAGGTAAATTGTGATATTCAAATCATTTCTTTATGAAGCCTTTGTTATTTTGTTCACCACTACATATACAAACTACCATATGGCCATTCTACCCACTTCCACACAAACAACAGCTAAGCAAACTGACAACCTCAGACTTCTCCGGCCATTATGATCAGAACCAAATTTGAGACACTAGCATGATTTGCCAGGACCGTTGATTTCATATAATTCCATTCCACATAGCAGCATGACTCACCTAAACTGTACATCCCACACAGGGTAGTTGTGCCCTCTATAACAAACTAAATTGACAAACATCTGTAAACTCCAAAGACGCACTGTAAAGAAACACAAAACTTACTGTAAATTTCTAGTAGTTAATTTCTTTTTTACATTGCTTTTTATAGTTGCATTCCTACTCTGTATTATATGCAGAACAACTTTAGGTAATTATTGCGACCACAAAGAGAAATCGTAAAATTGTTAGGCCTGAAACACTGAAGCACTGAGTTTACATGCAAAATGATGGTTGTGGTGCCTAATCACCAAAATCAAATTTACTTATTGTAATCATGCAAGGCAAATATTCTGTTGAATAAAATTTCCCATGAACTGTATAAAATCCAAAGGTTTTTCTCAGAATATATTTAGTGGAAATGCAACTTTAAAAACTGCATTTATCAATTTTCCAATTGTTGTCAATACAAATTCAGATAAAAGTAGTTTTGTTTATATTGGGTTTGGAAAAGTTTCCAGTTTAAACAGGATTTGGCTCTTTTATACTGTGGAAACAAGATAAATAGTTTGTCAGTTGACTTTACTTTATCTACCTGTGCAATCTTCAGAAGCAGAAAGTAACATTGTTCTATCTGGACTAAAACTAGTAGCATAAACAGGACCACTATGACCTAACAATACACGGTTATCAGTTGCAGTCCTGGAAAAAATACAATGAGAAGTTACGAGTTAATAAACAATAGAGTGCATACCACATATTTATTGTATACTGAATCATTGTATTATGACTCATTTTGACTTTAGACATGCCTCTATCAATTGAATAGAAGACATTTCGCTGTTGTGATTTTCTGTGACAAGGGGTTTTCAGTGGCATGTCTGTGGTTGTTTGGTCGGAGTTAGAAAACAAAAATAGGCAAAGAAAAACAGAGATGCGAACATCTAGCCTACAGCGTTATGAACATCAAGTGAAATTCACGGTCATTTGTGTGATTGAAAATGCTATAAAACAGTGTTTTCAATAGACAGAAAAGTCAGAAACACAGAATAGTGAAATTAGTTGTCAGGTGACCAAATAGACAAACATCGATATGGAAAATGTAGTGCCGTACAATAATATCCACCTATATCTGAGCTTTTAAATAGGTTTTTATCGTAGCATCCTTTGTAACTGTTATAGAATTCAAATTCACAGGTCAATTTCCTCTGTTGCTACCTTAAAATCATCTCTATTGTAACTTTACCTTCTGATTCAGGATATATCAGAGAATACAAAAATTACCTGACATTAAAATTATACAAAATACTAAATTAATCAGATTTTACACACCTTTCGTCCATAATTCTTTCCAAGACATCATCCGCTTCTTTGTCAATATTCATCAGTTCATGTATGGGTTTCACAGCTCTTAATTTCTTGGGAGTTAATGTCCACACTCGTATCAGTGAATCGGCAAAACCTGCTGCCATCATGCTGGAATCTTCAGATATCTCTGCCGAAGTTAAACTGTGAGATAAAGAGTTGAAAGTTATTCGTTTAGAACAAAATGAGGGGGGATTAGCACATTGGAATTACTGTAGAATACTTTATTTTCGCTTGGAATTTATTTTCGCTATGATTCTGTGAAAATAAAATCCAGCGAATATACTTTTTTTCCTATATTTCACATTCAACTCATCAAAAATTAGTGAAAATAAATTCTATAAAGAACGCCCAAAAAGCCTTTTCAGCGAAAATTAATTCCAGTGAAAATAAAGTTTTCCACAGTATGCAGAGCAGTACATTTTTAAGGCATGGTATACCAAATAAAAGTACCACACATCAATATTGTTAATTGTAAAATGAAGATTTAATCAAACTATGATACAAATCAGATCGGAGGTCACTTTACAAGTCAGATCATAAAATTTAAACTATGGTGAATATACCTGCAGCATCAAATCTACTAACATTTAAACCAGTGAATATTTTTTCCTTAACTTTTTCACCACCAGTTCCCGCTTCTTAACACAATTTGTATTCACAAAATAGTCGTTTATAATCTGCACTTTCTTTCAGAAGATTGGGTCGAAAATGATCAAAACGTTTTGAGTAAAAACTAAAAATTGACTCAAATTATGTCTGTTGGCTCCAAAACTAGGGTTCATTTCCAGAAATATTGAAGAATATAAGAAAAAAGTGCAGAAAAATGTTGGTCTGGTGGTGAAAAGATCAGGGCAAGGTTTATTGCACTTACTTCTGGTAAGCATTGAGGAATGTATAGAAGCAAATAGATGGTAGATTATCTGCCGATACTTTAATTCGTTTGAGTGTTTCTCTCATCGCAATCACTCTCTCCATCTTGTCTATGTCACGCCTCATGGAACAAAGACAAAACATCATTAGCAATCTTAATCAATTATAACACTTTTAATAAAAAAATACATTTCAGTTCAGCAGGAATATGCACTTTTAGGTATATGACTATACATGTACGTTTTCAGTTTTTACTATTGTTTTAGGGATGTAGTAGACTTAACAGGGATGTTATATTTAGGCTTGATATTTTCATATAAGAATTGTCCTGAACTATAGTAAACTATATGTTTCACACTTCCTGAAATTCTGGGTAATTTTTGATCTAATTCAATGATAGTCACGTGACTGCCAAGTAAACAAACAAAAAATATTATTTAAACCAGTCGCCTGAGATATTTGAAATTATTGCTGTTAGCAATGCATATTTCAATAAAAGAACAGAAGATATCATTAGAAAATGAACAATATGTATAGTATCAAAGCAATGGGACTTGCTGTTTTCAACAAGAATTCAAGAATATCAATTTTCACCAAAAATGACAAAAATAATCATCAAAATTAGATAATTGAAGATATCACCACAAAATTAACAAATCTGAAAGAGGTCCACATGTAGTACCCATATATGTAATATCAAAGCAATTGGACTTGTGGTTTTTAACAAGAAGTTGAAAATATCGCTTTTTACCAAAAATGACAAAAATATTCACCAAAATTAGAAAATTAAAGATATCATTACAAAATGAAGAAATTTGAGAGAGGTCCACATTTAGTACCTATATATGTAATATCAAAACAATTGGAGTTGCGCTTTTTAACAAGAAGTTGAAAATATCACTTTTCACCAAAAATGACAAAAATATTCACCAAAATTAGAGAATTGAAGATATCATTATGAAATGAACAAATCTGAGAGAGGTCTACCCAAGGTACATATACATTAAGTATCAAAGCATTCAGGCTTGTAGTTTTCAAGAAGAAGTCGAAAAAGTAAAACATTGACACGGACGACGAACAATCACTCATATGATAAGCGCCGCTCGACAAAGTCGACAGCGGAGCTAAATAAATGAGTACTGCGCGAAACTGAAACTAGTTAGATGAGTAACAAATGTCGTAATGTTAACCATAGGGTGTCCCATCCCATGACAAGATTTTTGCAAGTGCAAGTTAATTTCATGATACTAGCTTTAAGTGTTGGACCACAGTCACTGAATTATACCTAATTTACTTCGAGTTTAAAACGTGATTTTTCACCAACGACCATTGTTACGATAAAACGCTCTCACGTTTGTTTGACACTTCGGTAGAACAGCCCATGCAAAATTCAAGCGAATGCAATACCCAGGGAACACAGCGTACTCGATAATGTAGTTCACTAATTAGTTCGTTTTCATTTGGCAGAAACGGCAAGTAACCTTTCCATTGAACAAACTGTCCAATATTTTCAGTTTGGGACGTCGTTTGAGAACAATTTTACACTTGGGCAAAGGGTATACTTCTTTTTTATAGATTGTGTGTTGTGTTGTGTTGTTTATAGATTGTGTTACAAAGAGATCACGCGTATCGTCGATATTCAATGTAAAACAGGCTCCAAAGCACTGACGAGACTCGTTCACCTAGATAATGTTGTAACAGTTACAAAAGATAAATTATGTAATCCTTTGCGCATGCAAAGGTTGTTTATTGACTGGACATAAGTGAGAGATTATGGTTTAACTCCCTTAGCAACTGGGAACCACCTGACTGAGTTCATTGTGGCAGCTACTGCAATTTTTAATGTAGGCAAACTGTGATCAGTTTGAATCATATCGGCCATCCCCCTTAGAAAAAATATATATTTATATACATAAAATAAAATAAATTGTGCGTTGTAGATGCAGGCGTGCTAGCTGGAGACGAGAGATAGGAACAGCTCGGTCCGACAGAGCATGTGCTCCACCTGGATATTAAAATTTAGTTGTGATAAATAATTTGTCGTTTGGGACAATGTGTGAAAGAAAAGTATAATATAAATATCTGGGTGAGGACATGGCTTCCTGTTATGTACTGTCATGTTAAATCAGTTGTGTAACTGTGTTTCTACTTGAAATACACTGGTTACTATACTCACAAACTTGGTAGAGGTATTCTGCTCAGTGCTGGCGCATTAGGATCTGGTTTATTCTTTTTGCCCATGTGAGAATCTCTCTTCACTTTCTTTTTCTGCAAACAAATGATGGATGATATCGTAAAAAGATAAAGCCAACTAAAGTTACACTTTGACTGTACAGTGTGTGTCAATATAACTTTACAATAATTAACTATTTCAATACGACTTTAAAACAAGACCCTCAAAGGCCATACACCCTGGTATTTTTTGGGGTATTGTGATTTCCAATATTACAGCTCAGTTTCTGTTTGCATTTATCTTGAAAAAATATTGAAAAACTTTCACTGGCAAGTGAAAGTGCCAGGATGTGTGACCTTTAAGGGTCATAAAAATTCCAGGATGTGTGACCTTTAAGAGTCATACAAAGTGCCAGGATGTGTGACCTTCAAGGGTATTACAAAGTGCCAAGATGTGTGATCTTTAAGGGTCATACAAAGTACCAGGATGTGTGACTTTAAGGGTCATACAAGTGCCAGGATGTGTGACTTTAAGGGTCATACAAAGTACCAGGATGTGTGACTTTAAGGGTCATACAAAGTGCCAGGATGTGTAACTTTAAGGGTCATACAAGTGCCAGGATGTGTGACCTTTAAGGGTCAGACAAAGTACCAGGATGTGTGACTTTAAGGGTCATACAAAGTGCCAGGATGTGTGACCTTTAAGGGTCATACAAAGTGCCAGGATATGTGACTTTAAGGGTCATACAAAGTGCCAGGATGTGTGACTTTAAGGGTCATACAAAGTGCCAGGATGTGTGACTTTAAGGGTCATACAAAGTACCAGGATGTGTGACTTTAAGGGTCATACAAAGTGCCAGGATGTGTGACTTTAAGGGTCATATAAAGTGCCAGGATGTGTGACTTTAAGGGTCATACAAAGTGCCAGGATGTGTGACTTTAAGGGTCATACAAAGTGCCAAGATGTGTGACAGGGTGTTAGCCAGCCACCAGTCCACCCACCAAACAGACTGGCAACTTTGATTGTGGACTGGCAACTTTTTCCCATTTTTCTTTGATAATCTACCATCTACAATTTCATGAAGTTGAATTGTTTTGGACTGGCAGTTTCAAATTCCTGGCTAAGACTTCAAGGGTCATAACAAGTGCCAGGATGTGTGCCCTTTTAGGGTCATACAAAGTGCCAGGATGTGTGCCCTTTTCGAGTCATACAAAGTGCCAGGATGTGTGATCTAAGGACTTTTATTTTCTTATACCTTTGGTTTATCCTCTCCTTCAGCCCCTTCCTCTTCCTCCTCCAGAGGTAAATTGATTTCTGGTTCTTTCAATAATCCATAAAATACTTTAGTTTTATTGGCTGAAAATAAGGAAACATTTTAATACAAGTAGCCAAGATGTAAGACTAATGTACAATGTATAAACCTTTGGACTAATTGTCAAATTATTTCATGTTATTCACATTGTCGCTGAATACAAACATGTATACATCTGACAACAGATATGATCTGGATATGGATATGATCTCAATGAGTACTTTTTAAATTATTCCAGAGATTAACCAAAACAGAAACTAAAAAGTAGAGTTTTTTCATTTAGTGGGATAATGGTTACGTGTACAAAATGGGAAGAAAAACAATTGCGAGATATTGGTCATGTTTGGTTCAGCCATTACCTGGGGACAGTGATTCATGACCAAAAACAGAAAAACAGTTATTATTGCAACAGGGCTCTGCATTCAAAGAACGAATGATGTTCAGAATGGTCAGACACTTGCTTCACAATTACTAGAATTTAACCAATCATGGATGAAATCATGTAATAAGACTCAGTACTAATTTCAGTACTGGTGGTCAGAAGACTCATATTACTTCTTTTTCAGTGTTTACCTTCTCGCCGAGCTGCTCCTGTCATTGCACCGGCAGTAGCGTCTATCTGTTGTTTGTTTCTTGGTAAGCCATCAAACACTAAACAGATGCAGTAAAATACAAAATTAGACAATTATACTTCAAACATTACATGTAGCATGAGAACAGAAAATAATATAATGCACATTCATGTTGCCCTGGGAGACCTGATCACATGACAGGTGCCCTAATTCACCCGGTATGGCACATGCGACCATCAGGTAAATAGGAACCCAATCAGATGATTTCGTATGTGCATGCAACCTGCTCAATAAAATCAAGTTTCTTTGTGTTGGATCTTGATCGGGTTGCCTGGTTAGCATAAACATGTTCGGCTATATACATAAATACATACAATATGTTTAACCATAGCATGATGCTAGTAATATCCCATTATATTTAAACCTATAAGCAAGAATTTCCCTGTTACCGTCAATATACAGATGTTCCTGGAGAAGATCCAACAGCACACTTTGTTGTTTATCATTTAAATATCTTTTCAACAGCTGATATGAATCTCTCGACATCTTGATTGTAAATTTGCTAGATCTGTGGAGATACAAGTATTATGAATAAACTCACAACTTCTATTTTAACAACATAGCATATGATAAAGGAATAATTGTCATTAGGATACAGGTGAAAGTACCTGTATGAAGCAAATGTAATTTTCCAGATTAAATAAGGCAAAATAAACTTTCAGTGGAACACAGACAATAATCAATACAATACTGTTTTACTTTATAAAAGGTCATCCTACAAATTTTTATGAAAATAATCACAGATATATTATGCTGAATTTCCGACCTGAAATTGATCATAAGTTCATTGCTTTTCATGTGTTCTTTCTTTGTGACAGTTGATAACTTCACAAGGTCTTCTTGGTGGTACTCTTCTTGAATACCAAAGTGCTTGGCAAAAAATGAAACCGCTGCATGAGATGAGAAACAGTGTTGAGGTGACTAGCATGAATTCACAAAGATTCACTTCTGTCAGCTGGAGTATTTCTGAACATGAATAAATTTACCATACTCGACCGCGTTAGCGCCCAGGGGCCTCAACTCAGAAAATCACGATTTTGTAGGGGTGGGCGCTTACCCGAGCACCCCCCTCGAAAAAGAGTGCAAATGAAAATTTTGATTCATCAAGTGACAGATTAGGTCTTTAAGGGAAAATCAAATTACTAAATTAGTTGCGTCGTCATTGATTTTCACAATGAAGAAACAGAAATGATCACAAAAAATACGCACATTTTATTACAATATTAATTACGTACCACCTTAATTTACGGAATTAAAAACATTTGAGTCTGTTGGAACACAGTCGAAGTCAAAATTGTCATATTATTTCCACTGACGAAGTTGTTGGATCGTACGCAAACTCTCGATGAAAATCACTTTCCGCCATGATGCAATTGCAGATTTGACCTACAGCAGCGTCCTTTGACCTAATGGGTCAAGTTGGTTATTAACTAATCAGAATGCTGTGTTGTACTGACGCAATTCTTCGGAAATTCCTGAAGACTTTCCGGTAACGCAATGCGGAAGTGAATTATCGATGTCGAAGTACGATCTGTTGGAATTGATTT